TCCTAGTACCAGGGACCTTGTGCTTGGAAGGTAGGTGCAATGCCACTGAGCTAAATCCCTGGCCCTAGAAGTCCATTTTAATGCTTAGGAAATCCTTTTTGGGGGGCTAGGATGACTATCAAATCTTAAAGCCTACCTGGAATAAAAGACTGAGCCACCTGCCACAGCAGCCCACCAGAAATCAACCTGTATAATGTGAAGTCGTGTGGTGGTACAGGGCCAGGCTTATAGTGCAAATGCAGGGACCTGGAGGTGGGGACTTTTACTGCCTCACCTTGTCCCATGAAAGGCAGCCTCTGCACTATGCACCAGGCAAACAGGATAAGGACAGTTCACAGAGCTCCAGTCTTCCAGTGGAGACTATGTCCTTATACCAGGTTCCTCTAAGCACCTTGCAACTTTTTTCTTCATGCTTTTATTATAAGCATCTTGTACTTCTTTACATCTCTTTCTAGTAAAGTATATTTAGATAAAGAAAGAAATGGGAATCCACTTCCTTTTGGGGACATCCAAGTGGTATTTCCTAACCTCATTACTTGCATATCCAAATAGTCATGTGTCACTTGGCTTTGTATTACCTATCCTTTGCCTTTGCTTTGACTTGGGAAAGCAGAACCCATACCCAGTAACTTGCTTCCCAGAACAACAGGATTTAGGTGCCCAGCTAACCTGTTAAAAGTGGCATGGCTGGTGAAACGGGCTCCACACACAGCACAATTAGACCGCTGGTCCTCCGAGTGGATTAGGAGGTGCCGACCCAATGACCCTGGGGAGCTAAGGGCCCGTCCACAGACAGGACACATATAGCTCTTGGCACTCACCACTGCTGCAGTATGCTGTAAAACAGAGCCTTAATTTGTCAATTTTCACTACTCCAGGATAATTTGTACTCAACTATTTTAAGAGAAATGTCTTTCCTTAGTTTCAGAACCAGGGACTTACAACTATTCTTTCTGTAGAGCTCCTGGAAAAGTCACAGCTTATTGTGTTAGTGGGCCTTGAGATAGATCTGCCCATTCAAATTATTGTTCAAATTATTGTTTGATTACCTTGAAATCTGACCAAATTCTGAGACAAATGACTGGTCTGAAGAACAGTAGGGCTCCAGAATTCTAGAGGAATTCATGTTCAGAATTTTTAGCTCTCTTTGGGTCACACTGTGTACGTAAGCAAGTGCTTTTTAAGAGAGTGATAAACTTCAGTGACGCATGCCTGTAATGCCAGCACTCAGGAGGCTAAGGCAGGAGGATCACCACAAGTTCAAGGCCAGCCTGGGTTACACAGTGAGTTTGAGGACAGCATGAACTAGATAGCAAGACCCTGTCTCAAAATAAAAACAAAAAAAACAAAAAACAAAAGAAAGCGATGAAGGCCAAATCTAGCTGGCTGTGAATACTGATACGTCTTTCCTCATTCTTTTAGAAGACAATCTTCAAAAGAAATACTTCTTGCAAACTAATTGTATAACCCAGGCTATTCTGTGCCTGTGTATTGATACCTTGTCAATATGGATCACAAGGCACAGGTGCCCTGCAGCTGGATTAGGGTAAACAAGACAAAAGACTATTATTCTGATTCCCCTGTTTATATTTCCACGGGTATTTCAGAAACATATCAATTAAATTTTTTTGTTTAAAAGCCTTCATTAATAATATACATTAGTTTCTGTTTCACTACTGAATATATGTATTAAATAATTTAGAAAAAATTATGACACTTAATTTTTATACTATGTCCACCTGGGGACCTATTTTCCCAACAAATCCCACTTACTCTCTAAGAAGTTCTGAAAATTGGAGAGGAGTCTTATGCAGGCAAAAACCCAAGATGCTTCAGGAGCCAGAGGCAAAGGCCAATGCAGGATCTGGGCTATAAACAGGCACTAGCACTTGGGTTCCAGAGCTCGTGGTTCCCCATGCCATACCTGGTATACATGAGCAATCAACTGCTCCCGACTCCCACAGTCTAGCTGACAGAGGGGACACTGGCAGAGTTCAAGCAAGGGGTCCGAATTCAGATTCTCTGTGACCTGTAATTTAATGAACAAGCAATTCATGAAGAGACTTCACTAGTCTCTTCCCTGTTCCCACCTTTTTAACAGAGTTAAAAGGAGCACATCCTGAGGTCATGTGTTATTCTTAGGTTTCTATTATAGGCTGAAGAAAAAGTAATGTTTGAAAGGGAATTAAATTTGTTTACGTCTTCATTTTCTCCAAGGTTTTTGCCATGAGGACACAGGACTGCCCCAGAGAGTTGCTATTTTATCTAAGAAATACTGCAGGAAAGGATTAGCATCTCTCCTGCCATGCTCCTTGAAGGAGTCCTCAGGAAACCATGTAGTGAGAAGGTGATACACCTCAGGTAACATTTTGACAAATTTGCAAGCATATTTCTAGTACACTTTAGAAAGTAAGCTTTCAGTTTACAAAGATGGCTGTTCTGCCTGGAAATGGGGGAGTTTGAGGAAAGATAGCTGTAAATGGGTGCAGGTACGGGGTAGAAAAAGCCAGTATGATTGTGCTGTATCTGAGGGCTGGGTTCTGGTGCTGTGAAGGAAGAGGCTTTATATGAATGCTGGGAAGACCATCAAGACTGTGATATGGGCCAGGGATTTAGCTCAGTGGTTCCACCGCCTGCTTTACAAGCACAAGGAGACCCGAGTTCAATCCCCGGTACCAAAAAAAAAAAACAAAAAACAGTGTGATATACAGGTAAGAAACATCAGGGATGATTAGAAGGCAGGACATTCCAGGAGGAACCATTTGTGCCGGGCATGGTGGCATACATTCTTGTAATCTAGCACTTGGGAGGCCATGGCAGAAGGATCACTGTGAGCTTAAGGTTAGCATAGGTTACATAGTTCAGGACTAGCCTGAACTACATAGCAAGACCCTATCTCAAAAAAAAAAAAAAAAATAGTAATAATAATTTTTTTAAAGCCATTTTTCACTTGCCTCATGCTCTA